CCCCTGCATTGGCAGGCGGACTCTCAACCACTGCGCCACCAGGGAAGTCCATCATTATTCTATTTCTTTATCTTCTGCTCCTCAATTGCTTTGTAAGCCTTTGCTAAGGACACCAATGGGCTGTCTTCAATTTTGACTTCTTTTGTCTATTTGTCTTCTTGTGTTTGATCACATTCTTCTCAGAACTCTTTGATACCCAAGACCTGTTGTCTCCTGGTTTCCTTCTCAGTTTTCTTCTTAGGCGTTTCTTTATCCACCACTGAAATATCGGTGTTTTATAAGATTATCACCTCTCATTCATTCATTCATTCATTCGATAGATTGAGTAAAACCAATCTGGTAACAGCAGTAAATAAAAGAGACCCTATCTTTCATGGAGCTCAAATACTAGTTTTCTCATATCGTATAAATATTACTGAGTCCAAGCTCGCTCTGCTCGCCCCACGACAGGCCAATGAATAGAAGGTGTTTATTCAGAAAGCTGGCAGACTGGTGTCTCTGAAAAACCATCTTATGGGGTTTGGATGCCCGTTTCTTTTATAGCACAGAGATGGGGAGGAGATGAGGAAGTAAAGTAAAAAGGCCATAATTTTTGTAGATATCTCCTGGAATGGCCAGCCTCCGGGAGGGGATGTGTTAATTTCTTCTTCCTTGCAGCCATCCACAGGTGGAACAGGTCTGGATGTTTCCCTGAACAAAAGCACAGTTGGTTTAACATTCAGGCAGAGGGGCAGTATTCCCCTAGGCAAGCCATTATGTAGAGACAGTGAACAAAAGCAGTGGAGAGCAAAGGTTAAAGTGAAAGAAACAGATCCAACTTGTAGTCCGATTTGGCCCTTCCCTGTTACCTAAACACTTCCCAGGACATCTCATTCATTTCCGTGGCTTCAACTACACCTGTAATCAGGCGTGATATAATATGTTAACAATGGAATCATCCTAGCACCAACTAAGTCAGAAGAGGGCGTCAACCAATCAGACAGCCGGTCTGGCTCTACTCTGTTGTACTGGCTGAATATCAGCGCAACCTATAATATATAAATATGATAATATGATGTCTGGTAGTTAAGAGGACAGTCTAGAGCCTAGAACCTCCAAACTGCTCAAATTCTAGCTCTGTTACTTCTGCTGCGTGACATGGGGCAAATTACTTCACCTGTTTGTGCTTCAGTTCTC